ATCTATCGTTCCCATTCCCTTCCTAAAACCCGCTTGATTCGGTTGATAAACTTCCTTTTCTCTCATTCCTCCTTTAACCTTTCCGCCAATATCATCATATATACTTTATATGCTGTCGGCATTAACGTTACTCCCCTATAATCCTCTACCTTCCCTCCCTCCCCTTTCTTAATTATCGGAATTACTTCTCCTTCTCTCCACACCTCCGGCCATCCTTCCCCTTTCCATACTCTCCTGCATACACCCCATAGCCACTCCTCCACCTCCACACCTCCATATTTCCACACCTCTCCTGGTATTCCGTCTTTTCCTACTGCCTTTTTCTCCTTCAGATTTCTTATCGCCCTTTTCACCTCCCCTCTACTCAACTCTTCTCCTCCTCCCTCCTCTGTTTCTTCCCTCTTCCTACCTCTTCCTTTCACCCTGTTTTCCACTCCTCCTAACATATCTTTGAAATATTCTTCCCATTCCTCCATTTCTATCTCCTCATTCACTCCCTTCCTTCTCTTTCTCTCTCTATTTATTATCTCCCATACATCCCCCTCTTTTTTTGCCTCCATCGCTCTTCTCTCCCACCTCTTATTCTCCTCTCTCTTCTTCTCCTCACACAATTCTTTGTAGTCCCTTTTCTTTTCTCTATATCTCTTCCCCTCCCCTCCCTCTCTCCTCCACCTCCTCATCTCCCTTCTTAACTCTCTTTTCACTTCCTTACATTCTTCATCCCACCACCCTCTTCTCTCCTCATTCCCCCTTTCTCTATCTTCCCTCCCCATTTCTCCCAATACCCCTCTTATCCTCTCCTCTCCTTTTCTCCATACCTCCTCAATTTCTCCATCTCCTACCTCCAAATTTGCTAATCTCTCTTTGAATCTCTTTTTCCCTTCCTCATCCCATTTCCCTCTCCATGCCTTCTCCCCTCTTTTGCCTACCTTTCTCCACTTTACCTTCCCTTTTATCTTTATCTCAATCGGCTGATGATCCGACTCTACCCTGCTCCCTATTCTCATTTCTCTCACCCTTTCCTTAGTCCTGCTACTGCCCAATATGTAATCAATTACCGTATTTCCCTTCCCTCCCGTGAATGTATATTCTCCTCCTTCATCCCCCTTTACCCCTCCATTAAAAATTTCCCACCCTTTCTCCCTTATACATCTTACCAATTTTTTTCCCTCTTTATCCACCTTCTTATCTCTCGACATCCTCCATCCATCCTCCTCTCCCCTTTCCACACTTCCCTCTATTCCCCCACCTTCTCTCCCCGTTCTCGCATTAAAATCCCCTCCCATCAATATTCCCTCCTCCTCCTCCTCCTTCTCCATCCATCCCTCCAACTCCTCCAATGTCCTATCTATCCCTTCCCTCCTAACGTATACTCCTATTATCTTCCATCTCTTCTCCCCTATTTTTATATTCCCCACCATTATCCCCTCTTTCTCCTTCTCAATTCCCGTCCCTTTCTCTAATATATCCTTCCTTATCCCCATAATCATTCCCCCCATAGCTCTTCCTTTCTTATTTACTTTCTTTGCTTCCTGCATCCCCCATATAAATCCTCTCGGTAACCACCTCTTTATCTTCTCCCATCCCTTTTCCCCCACCCACGTTTCTGATAATACCATCACATCCCAGCTCTTCAGATAATTCCAAAATTCTTTATCCTTGTTTCCCATTCCCGCCACATTCCAAAATAATATCCTCCATTCTCTCTCCTTCTCTCTACCTTCCCCTCTCTCTCTTTCCCTTCCTCCACTTTCTTGTCAATCTCTCCCTTCTCCAATTCTCCCCTCCTCTTTTTCCTTCCCTCCTCCCTCGCCGTTCCTTTCCCATTTCTCAATACTTCATTCTCCTCATCCCATATCCACCATTCCTCTTCTATTCTTACCTTCCCGTACACTCTCCATACTCTTTTTCCCTTTCTTCTTTCCTCTTTCGCTATTTCTTCCAATTTCCACTCCATTCTCCTCTCCCTCCATGTCAAGTCTTCCCTAATTATTTCTTTTCTCCCCCTTAACTCCCTCTTCCTTCTCATCACCTCCCTCTTCTGCTCTTCTTTTTTAACTTCACCCACAGCGTCTCCGTTCCCCTTTCTATATTCCTTCCTAACCCCCTCATTTCCTCTATCTCCACCTTTGCTCCAATCTCCGCCATTAATCTCTCCACCGCCTCTCTCCTCCCCCCTTCTCCCACTTTTAACTCCTTAACTATTACATTCTTCTTCCTCTCTTCCCTTTCCCTCCTCTCCAACTTTCTCTCCAATTCCCTTACTCTACTTTCCACCTTCCCTTCCTCCCCCACCTTTCTCTTCTTTTCTCCTTCTTTCTCCTCCCATCTCTTTTCCATGTTTTCTACCCTTCCTTCCACCTTTTTAAGTCCTTCTTCCCACCTCTCTCCTTCCTTCCTCCAACTTTCCTCCCTCTCCCTCATTTCCCTCAACTCTCTCTTTAAATCCTCCACCTCCTTCCTCAACGCCTGCTCTTGCCTCCTTCCTTCTTCTATTATTTTCTCCGTTATTTTTTCCTTCAACTCTTTGTTCGCCTTTTCTCCATTTATTTTCATCTCTTTTACCTCCTCCATTAATCCTCTTATCAAATTTTCAATCCCCTCCCCTTCTCCTTTCCCTCTCTCCGGCGACCTCATTGTTTTTTTACATGTCCTGAACACTTCCTCCTCCCCCTCCCCTCCTTCTTCTCTCCTCCTTTTCCACATCTCATCTACACTCACACTCCTATCCCTCATCATTATTTTCCCCCTTGCTCCTCTCACACTCATCTTCTCCCTGTCACGCTTGCGCACTCTCTCTACCTGCCTCTCCCTAGTTACTCTCCCGCACTCTCGCTTTCCAATCTATCTCCTACCTTCTCCCTGACCGACTCGAGCCACTCGCTTACCTCTCTACCTTCCCTATGTTCCGCGCCTTTCACCTTCTTATATCACCTGTCTCTTTCCTTCCTCTCTCCTTGCCCTTATTCTTTCTATCCCTGCCTCTCCACTTTCTCTCCCCTTCACATGCACCTCCACTCACACCCCCTCCACTCTCACCTTCCCTCCTTATCTCTATACCCTTTTCTCACTTAATTTTCTCTCACTACCGAACCACGTATCCTTCTCACTACGCACCGGAAACGGAAGTCCTCATTTTAAGTATTATATATTTATTTATAAAATATTTATAAAATACTTTATAATTGCTTCACTTTATTAAATAATAAAATAAAATTATATAATTTTACTTATATTAAATAAAAAATTCAAAGATTTTGTAAATAAAATTTAAAGTTAATTTTTGACTTTAGATTTTCCGTCGTCTTCGTCGCTACGTCTTGCGTACTTTACAATAATTTTAACAGCAGTGCTGATAATGACTCATTACTCGGCAGCGTTAGTTAGCTTTCTAACGACGTGCCCTAGTGTTTTACCTTTTCGGACAATCGACGAATTTGCCAACGATGGTACTTATGAATTAATAGTTCCACGCGATAATGCTGATTATGACGTAATCACCGTAAGTTCGTTCAATAATTAAGAATTTTCGTTCTCTTTTACTTTTTCTTCTGTACTTTTAGACTGTCGAAGTTATAACTGATTGTACTTACTAAACTTGATAACATGAAATTACAATCATATTTAATTCTGCTACATTCTTGTTAACATTGATACATATATTCAGCATTTATTTATGTATTACAAAGCATTTTTGCAATTGTTTTAGATGTCAGAAGATACTTTCTCATTGAAATTGAAGAAATTAATGAAGGACGAATCGAAACTGCCAGCAACTTTAATCGATGGTTTCGTGCAAGTACGATTAATATTTGTATTTTTGCATCGTCGCATATTAAAATAAGTAGGAAATCAATTTTAATAATGTAGCTAATATTGTTGTTAATTTTTTATTCGATAAAATTATTTTAATTATTTTAAATATTATTAGTTATTTTTAAGCTTACGATGTACATAGCGAGATTATTTATTATTTATTGTTTCTTTAGGTATGTAATGAAAAAAATGTCGCTTTTATGGAGTTAAATGTTATGAAGAAAAGTGTAGAAGTGATAATTCCGTGCAAACTGTCGGCTATCAGTACTGAAAGAATTGACAACTTAGGGATAGTTCTGTCTAAAGGCAATCCATACACTGCTTTAATAAATTATCAGTGAGTACCATAAAAATATTTAGTATATTGTCATACATACGTTGCTGTCAATTTTGAAAATATTGTATATTTCAGTTTGGAGAAATTTTTGGATAATGGAATAATGATGCGTTTGAGAAGTGCGTCATTTTCAATGCAGCCATTTAAAAATAAGGCTTATGAACCGGTTCGCATAGTAAGCGTCATTCCAATTTTGATAATACTGTGTGGAGGTTTTATATTGAGTATTTTTTTGTTTCTTATGGAAAAAATTTTTTATCGGTATACAAAAAGCGAATTTCAAAGGTCCTCTGCTAACTGAAGAAACAGTTCTTTATTAAAAAACGATAATCAAAATATTTGAAATTGGCAAATTCGTTTAATATAAATGTTTTGCATTTACAATTAGAATTAGAAGTAGAAACATATGCTACGTTTTCGTTTGTATCTATGTATTTGTAGATTTGCAACAAAAAATTAAATAATATTGATGTTTGCATATCATCTTTTCTTAATCGCTGTATGTATCGCATATCACTTTTGATGGTTTAAATTGTTAAAAATTATTTTTACGACACCTTGTAAAATGCTGAATAAAATGTAGTAAAAAAAAATTACAATATAGTAAATTAATTAAGTATTTTTTAGGACAATATTCTCCAAAAAAGCAAATGTTTAAAATTTGGTTTCCAGTTTTTATAATGTTTTTTTATAAAAATATCTAACGCTCAGTATGATTAGCTAATCAGTAGTGACCTATCGAGTGATCGATACCAAAAGTTTTTTCTGTATTCTTTTCCAACAAATATATTCTTTTTATAAGCTTAAATGTGTAAACTCACCTTCATGTGATAAACTAAAAACTGAAATACGTTGACATTTAAGATAATGATATATAGGCAAGCAATGCTGATTGCAAAAGCTTGGCTGCAACTATAAACAATCAATAATTCATGGATTAGCTGATGGTTCGCTGATAAGTGATGTATGTGTAGTTTGTGATAATGAAACCGCTATATTCACGTACTACCCTCGGTCTAGTACCCTCATTCGCATCCTCGAATCCGATAAATTCTATCCGATAAGATTCTCGAATCCGATAAATTCAAACGTCCGTGAGGATCGCCTTTCAGTCGTGCATTTGCAACTTCGTATTGCGGAATTTTATTCTTCAATTCATAATAAAATTCCGTTCCCGTTGGTTATCTTAGTAGAAATTAGGAATTAAGGTGCCAATTTCTTGTCCTGATATTTTGTCTATTTTTATCTATTTATTTTAATTTTTGTGAGAAAAATATTTTCTTCTTATAAATTAATAGTGAATTTAATAATTCTTTCTTTTTATCAAATTATTTCAACTTTATACTTCGAGATGAAACATTTGATAATACGATCGATTGCGACACTTCTTTTTACGCTGTCCGCTAAAGTGTTGACAGTAGAGATAGATACTAACAATTATTTCCGACTGATCAGTGATGTCCGTAAATATTATCACACTTCATCTATTATTTTGTGCAGTCGGAGAATTATCGTGGTAAGTATTAAACTTCCACTTTTTGCACTACATATGTATTACACTCACAGTCAGTTAATGGATAGTGAACAAAAAGTTTCTGCAAGTTTAAAATAATTTTATTTGTATGTATCAAAATAAAGAGCTTTAGAGCCACAGCAGGATGTTCGTACACAATTATGATCAATTTATTGATAATATAAGACAATAATCGTGTAATGCAATTGCAACTTTGTTTCAATCTGTCAACTTCATCAAACAGTAGTATAGATAAAACATATAGATGAGCGCTTTACAATTAATTAAGCAAATAGCATTCAGTCAATTGCAATTGTAATTTATAGCTCGATGAAATTAAGTACGGTTAATATTACGGACATATTACAATTTGTTTGATCGAAATATTTGTTCTTTTTGCCAATAATCGTTGTTAATGTGCATCAAAAAATTAAAATTGACAATATGAACATATGTGTGCGCGAAAATAAAATGACAGATTAACATAACGAAAAAATGTCACCTTACATTGTCAAAAATGGAAACTGGAACATCCGAATATCATGCTGTGGTTTTGCAGTCCTTTATTTTATTACTTTCTGATAAATTTTGATAAATAGAAGCTATATTTATTTTTATTTGTGTGAATGTATTATATTAAATGTACAACAACTTAATTAACAATATGATGGTAATTTTTACATAGTAATTAATACATAGTAAATTTTACGTAGTAATTAATTTTTGCGTAGTAATTTTTACGTAGTACTTAATACATAGTAAAAATAGTCCATGATTAATATAATATATCGTGTTATTTACATTATATTATAACAATAAATTTTAAATTGCAAATTATTATTTATTTCTTAAATATTATATTACGTCACAGAATATGCTATTAGTACCAATTAATCATTAAAGATATTAAATATTATTAATTCAAAGTTGCAATTGCATTACACAGATTTAAACTTGACGACATTGGTGCACACCTGGTCGCGTGAGTTCTCACGACAGCAGGTCATGACCATGACCATAACTTTCTCGGAACTGATGAGCCAGTATAATAGGTACCAAAAGACCATCGTAAAGCCATTGTTCGTCGTTCTCCTCGACACTGGAGAAGCCATGAGTGAATTTGTTAAAGCGACAAGGAATATAAAGCCTATTTCTTTTCCCACCTGGTTCGTGATGTTCCTTCAGCATCCTGGGAATCCGCTCGAGAAGTACTGCAAACATCCCACGGATAACGTGTTCAACGTGGATTTCAGCACTCTCATGCTGGTACAGTGCTACGATCATCCGATCCTGGTCGAGTGGTACGCTATTCGTGATAATCACACCAGAACGTTCGAACTAGCCACGTGGACCGCTGATAAAGGTTTAATTTTGAGGACGCAGAAAAGCCTCTACGCTAGACGGAACGATATGTTTGGTGACGTTATGCGAGTGGCGTACGTGGGTGTAAGCATATCTTCTTTCAATTTTATCATAGACCATATTACCGTTGAAAATAAAAAAAAATTATTATAAATAATAGATTTGTATAAAATTTTTGAAATAAAAATGTCAATTGGTAATTTGTCACAAAATTAATATTAGAATCTAATAAAATTCAGCAACTCATTAATCGCTTAATGAATTAATTTAATGATTCTGTTGATAAATGACATTCAAAGGAGTCGCCATTTTTCTTGATAACAAACGGCACGACCGACGGATTTCTCGGGCTGCTGATGAAAGAACTCAGTAAAATGATGAATTTCACAATGAAGATTCTGGATCCGGTTGAAGCGTATGGTAGCTGGAGCCATACACAGAATATGTGGACCGGTGTGATCGGTCAGCTGGTATCCGATGAGGCCGACATTGGCGTCACTGAATTCACCATTACGTCTGACAGATTAAATGTCGTCGATTTCACATTGCCGTTGATGCACTCGCGAAATCGCATCTATTTCAAACAACCCAGCAGTTCTGACGTACAATGGTCTGGATACTTCAAGGTAATCATGTTCAAATTACTTTTATCGTAAATTTAAAAAACTAAAAATAAAGTTATTTAAGATTATTTAACTATACTTAGAAAAAAATAGCTTGAAACGTTCCTGAAGCAAGTTTTTTTAAATGTTTGTTTTATTTCTCCTTTTGCAAAAAATTGGATATAACATTTACAAATTAACAAAATGCGTAAGGATATTAAATAAAGATATTAATGCATGATGTTAATAAAGTTTGGATAGTAACGAAAAAAGCTTTTTCTTTCTGAAGCTATAAAAATGATTCACTAAATTATTGAAAACTGTAAATGATATAAATTTTTCAGGCATTTAGCCTTGAGATTTGGATAACGCTGGTAACCATAATAACAGCCGCTTCTATTCTATTAACTGTTATAAAAGCAAAAGGATTCTCGATAAACGTAATATCAGAGAGTTATATTAATGTTTGGGGCATTTATTGCCAGCAGGGTTTGTCAGGTAACGCTTACATTAGAAATATTTACAATTAATACACATTAATATTGTATGATATAAATTTTTCAAATTATTTGTTGTACTATTATTTAATTTTTAATTTATGTGTCTACACGAAATACATTTAATACTGAAATAATATCTTTTATTCTAGAATTTCCTAATAAATCGTCAATGAGATTAGCTTTTTTCTCTATCTTCTTCTCATCGTTGATAATTATATCCGCCTATTCCGCCTCGTTGATCAGCTTCCTGGCGTTCACTACGGCCAGCTTGCCTTTCTCCAATCTGGAGGGCTACGTTAACGATGGTTCTTATAAATTAATCGTTGTGAAAAACAGTGCCGAGTATGATATGCGTAAAAGTACTGTGAGTTTCCGTGTAATTAATGTGTAATAAATTAATTTTATTTTTATATTAATTTTAATTTAATTATGTTATAAAAGTTTGTGGAGAAGATGTGATATATTAATTGCAACTGAAATAATCTCAAATTATCAATATTCAAATTACAGTATATCAAAGACCCTGTCTTTCGAAAAATATACGAATTGATGGAAAATGAGGAGGAATTGCCGTTAACATTATCCGATGCATTCAAACAAGTTAATAGTCTTTTTTAATGTAATTTATTTATTTAACAATGTTAAGTTTCCTCAAGTTGTTTTATGTCAATTTTTGGGCAGCTATGCGGACAGAAGAAATATGCGTATTATACATCGGAAATATACATAAACAGTATGAGCATTCATCTGCCATGTAAATTCGTACAGATAGAAAGCGGAAATACTGATAGTTTGGCATTAGCTTTAACAAAGGGAAATCCTTACATCGGCTTAATAAATTATTAGTAAGTTCATAAAATATATGTATATCAATAATTTATATTTATGTATAAATTATGTACGCTTTATTATTTTATGTATGCATTAATATTTTTAAAAACAATTGTATCGAATATTTTTATCTATTTTTCAGCCTGCGGCAATTTCGGGACAACGGTGTCATGAAAAAATTGAAAAATGGGTATCTCTCAAAGAACAATGCACCGATGACTAACTACGACGCGGTCAATTTAAAGGATATAACGCCGACTCTGACGGTAATGACAGGTGGAATAATGCTGGCACTATGTGTCTTGATAATCGAGAAAACATATCATACTTTAACTGCTAGATTTAAAAATAGTAATCTTTTAGTTAAAAAGTCGAGTCTGCAATTCCAAAAAGTAAACAACAAAAATAGTCTGAATAATTTGAGATTATTCGGATATTTGCCATGATATTATTAAAACTAATCTGAAGTTTTCCAAAAGTTTTAACGTATATTTCTGATAGAATGTTAATGAATCATTTAAGTAATGTATATGTAAATTTATTTATTTTATAGATAATTAATAGGTAATTAAATATGTATATATATGATACATATATTCCATGTTTAATATGGTAAATAAAACTTGCAATTAAATATGATAATAAATGTGTGAAGATTTCCATCTTCTTTTTGTTTTATTTTAAATAGTTTTTTTATCTACTTAATATTTTCTCATTTTATTTAAATTTATTTTTTATAACAAACTTCATAATTAATATCTCTGCCAAAATATTATATTTTCTATCAGAAATTTTTAGATAAAGTGTCTTTAAGATTATAGTAATTTGTACAAACCAGTTTTCGTTGATGTCCACGATAATGCCAAATCATTTTCTCTCTCTCCTTTCTTAGTGATATTATAATGTCAGCAACAATGATACGGACGCATTCTTAATAACTGGTAACGCATGCATTTTTCCGCCACGTCATACATTCTCCGTTCGCGAAATCGCTTTCACCGTAAGTTCAGCAGCAGTAGCAATTCTTTGCATTTACAAACGAACAGATGTGAGAACGTGCGAACAAGCGCAAAGTAACTGTGACGTCTAAGTTTAGATATTAATGTTTTTCTTTTCTTAAAAAAAAATATGGATTCCATTTATCAATATTGTATTTGTAAAAAAGTAACATATTTGTATATAAATTAGAAAATAAAGACTCAATTGATTTAACAATTTAAATTATAGATTAAGACTTAAGAATCAAAGCTGGTTGTTCGTGTTTCAATTACATTTATAATAAATTATATACATGCTGGCTGTTATTCCAGCCATATTTAGTGTGAAAAGGTTACAGCGATACCAAATTCAATAAATAATGAAAATTGCGTTAGAAGCAAATATGCGAGTAACAATTAAAGCGCAAAAACAATAAAGCGATACGCAGTTACTTGGATCACTTTTTGAGATGCCAATTGTTACAAAATATAATACATTTTTTTTTTAACTATAAAAATTATATTTTATTATATTTATTTATAATTTTATTAGTTTTTTTTATTGTTGAACTTTAGGTTGAAAATGAGAGGCGATTTTTTTACGAAGACAATTATATTTATTATGCATGTAGATCGAATACAAGAGGTAACTTTGCCAAACGGTAATTATAACAATATAATCACTTATCGTGTAAAAGTGAGTGATGAAAAGAATGTGGAAATAATTAAATTATTGATGGATAATTTTACTTTATTATCAAAAATAGTTTGTTGTTTGAAAATAGGATTATTTTTGTAAACAGAATCTACCTGAGAATACGTCTTGCAGAGATTGTCATCCAGACGTCGTTTAAGGAGACGCGTACCGATTCGCATAGCATTACGAAAAGTGATTTACATAAAAAGAAGGCAAGGTGGATTACGTAATACCGATTACGCTTCTGGTTACAACGCCAATGAAGACACACTGATTTCTAAAGAAAAAAAAAAAGGAAAGAAATGCATGTGATCCGTGACCTTTAGTAAAATTCGCCTACGCGGATTGTACCCACGCGAATGCAATGAAGCCCACCGTCTCTAATTTACAAGAACATAAACGCCCTCCTGATTTCATGCACGTGTTACAATCTCGTCAAATAGCGGCACGCACAAGCCTCGAATGTGTTTTGCTACGTGATAGCATGTGAAGCGTTCCTCCATGAATCACATTTCCTTCGTGAAAATGCGATTTATTATTTCTTATCATATTTTTTTCAATCAACTATTTTTCAGTTGCATACAAATTTAATAACAATAAAATAATATTACAATCTACATATTCAGAATATCGTATATAAAAAAATCTTAGATGCAAAAAGTAAATTTTGAAAAATTATGTAATTTTATACAAAATTGAAACATTTAAAGTTTAATAAGTTTATGATAAGTTTCAATTTTCTTCAGTTATTATAATATTATTGACAAATGGAAGTTGCATCAGCATCTTTCCAGCAGATGTAGCCGATTCGATACGCACTCAGGTAGCATAACTGCTGGCAGGCGCAACGGATGTGAGTGAGCACGCGCTACGTTTCCGCTTGCTGTTTGACCGGAAGTGACCTTTGTCTGATTAGAAAAAACTCGCACGCATGCATCAATCTCTGGCGACGACATCAAACTGCCGACCGTGGTCGCGCAGCCACTTCATATACATATATACGTGAGTTGCTTTTACCGTTGCGCCGAAGGTTGCAGCGTATTGATTACGAAAATAAACGCGTCTTCGCGAGTTTCAATCCCATCAGTGAAAAATTTAACTTGAACAAGGCTGATAACTGCACACGATTGCAGCAAGGATTGGTTCTATTACCGGATTACCTTGATTTTTGTTAAACGTAATAGATACAATTATTTTACGATAAGAAGTAAGCGAGTTATGGTCGAATTTTTATATTTTTTTGCAAAATGTATCAAAGCATATATAGTTTGCTGGCAATAATTGGTCATTCCGAAATTAGTTTGCTTTTGCGTAATTGCATTCAATGCAAATACAAATAATTAAGCGTATCAATTACTCGAGATATTAATCAAACAAGCATATTTAAACAAAGACTTGGTCAGTTAAACCGTGCTTTTGAAACCGGCACAAAATTTCCTCTGTTCTGATTCAATTTTTGGGTATAGAAAATTTTATTTAAGTAAAAAAGATTTTTACCATTTGACAAAAAAATACGTATACCTGTCAAGAATACAAAAATAATTTTTTAATTGTTTTTTCGTTTGTTTTTTGCATTTCCGGAGGAGCATTCTAATGGAGAAACGCACATCGATGACGATGAACGCGGTGTGACACGACTGCACGCAAGACAATTTATGCATCTTTGCGCCGCGCAGCCGGACGGCCTCGAAATGCATTCTGCAAACGTGATCGTTTATTATCGTTGCCGCCGATCGACTGTTTCAAGTGGAAAACAGGAATCCCCGAGAGACGACTAGGCTCTTCAAGTCTCTCTTTCTCGCCGCACGTGGTTGTCATTGTTGGTGCGTTGTGTCATCTCTGGGCTTGTCCAGAATGCCATTATATCGTGGCGCATGACAGAATTTTTGCAACTGATCGTAACAATAACAATAATTGCGAACCAGGAAACAATAATGCTGCTCGTTGCTAATGACGATTGTTACATAGGAAACAATGATGGCGATGTTAATGGTGCCGGGCGGAGCATTGATCCAAGAAATGAAGTCGTAATAAAATCGCGAAGTGACGTCTTTTTATGAGTCGCGACAGCATTTCGTGTGATTTAAGGATATCGTATATAAAACTCACTTTACACGATTTATAATTCACTATAAAATTTATAATTTTATGTACCATAAATACAGGAAATATTAAAAAATTAAATCTTTTATTACGTAAAGTAATAGATAGATTTTTTTATCTCGAATATTGAGAATTTATAAAGCGTTTAAAGCTGTTTTAGATACACGTTGATTAAAAATAAAAATTAAAAAAGTAATTGTATTTTTATTACAATTAAATATAATTTTTAATTCTCTGTACGGAAGTAATAAATCATAGCTGGACATTTTAATGACGTTGACAAATATCGTACGAATGATATTGTTACATTCTAAAGAGTATGTTAAAGATTACTTTGCTAGATTTGAAAGAGGTCTCTTATCTAGAAATACGATTTCTGCCTTGATTGCAGGACACCCGGGTTCCCGGAAAGGCGTAAAAAAAAGTTGGTCATTAGTTTATGACCGGAAATCGGTCATAAATTGCACACACCTTTACCTACCTAATTCTATCTCAGATAATAAAGATCAGGTTCTTTTACATAAAATAGAATCTACGAAAAAATGCGTACTAAAAATTGAGCAAAAAATCTAGTTTCTCAATTGTTAGTTTATTTACAGACTTTTTTACTATATTAACTTGTTGATCAGATTTTGACTTTGGTTTGATTGTTACGATTCTTCCAAGTTTCCTGACCATATATGGCTCAGACAAAACTGAAGAGAACGTAATAAAACCAAAAAGTTGTGTTCAAAAAATCGCTGATTGAAAAATATAGTTTTTACTGTAATAAAAAAAAAAATTTGAAAACTTTTGTAATAAATCCATCACTATGTGTGTGTGTGTGGTTTCTTTACGGTTACTGCAAAGCTCATTAACGTGTTCGAGAGCGTGGGAAGGTGTTAGTGTTGGATCACTTGTAATGAAATTAACATGTGTAACGGATAATACAAGCTTGATGCTGGATTCTAGTAACCACTCATCTGTTTTTTTTTGTTTTATTTATTCCTTGACACAAATGTTTCGATTATCGTCGTACCCTTCTCCTTTCGATTAGTAGGCTATTTGTTCTTATAAGATATCGTCGCCGATTGATGGTTTTTAGAGAAAGCAACAGAAATTACTATTGCTCGAATGAGATTTGTGAATCCAATGAAAACAACTCATTGTTCTCGATATCGAGACCGTGAAGTTCAAAAATATTTCACTCTCCTTTTTTTTGTTAAATATAAAAGCATTTAATAATATGATTAGACTGCTATAGATAAACTGCACTCTAAATGTATTAATTTTTCCAACAAGCCAGATAATTTGATTAGTGGATCATAAATAATAGACGTAATCATATGTCGCTACACCACAAGCAATTATTTCGCATTTTTGATCGAAACAAGAAATTGTTAAGTAGGTATAGTAAATTAAATATTAATTTTATCTGATAATATAAGGTTTAATAATTTAATTAGTACTCGCATATTTCTCTTTAGTAAAAAGAAAATAAACGATCAACTGCCATTTAGAACACAAATTATATTATAATTTATCATAATTTTTAATTGATTAATACTTATTTCTATTAAATGTTTATTTGGATATTAGATTCTCCATTAAATTTATCACATTTGTCATAAACAACATAGCGTTAATCGTTTACTCAGTATCAAAACTGAAAGAACTGCTGATATATCACTTTATCAAAATCATTAACATTGTGAAACGGTCGAGCGTAAAAGCGTTTAATTGCCGTATCACATTATTGCCCAAAATAGGAGATCATCGAGATCCGTTCTAGATGCATGCAACAGAGTTCTCTCATCTGGGAAAGACGAGACAGAACGATTCCTCTCGCTCGCCTATTTACTTATTACACATTTCTTTCTATTTCATTTATACCTTTTAAATTTTTATTATTATACAGTTTATTTCTAATTTATTATTTTTGCTTTTAATCTATAAGTTACGCCATATCCTTTATCATTTTTATCGTTTTTAGATTTATTTCAGCAAAAGAATAGGTCCTTGTAAATCTCGATTTCTTGTCTCTCTCTTCCGCCAACGTCGACAGCCCACGTATACCGGGTGTCGCGTGGGTGTGGATCGCGCGTTGTGCACACACGGTGGGGGAGCCGTGCAGTACCGACACCCCACCGCCGTCTCAGTAGTGGCAGAATGGAATGGAAAGGAAAAGAGAGAGAGGAGCCGTAGTGTACAGCTGCCTGCCTGCCTGTTTGCTGTAGACACGATTATGTTTCGTGTCTGGCAAACCCATTCAGTACTTCTCACGGCACAGGAGCACATGGTGCGGTCGCCGCCGTAAACCGTCTCCGCGAGTGGTGCACGCACACGAGTGGCGCGACGAAGAAGTGCAGCTCCGGAAGATAAGCCCGCCGAGGAAGTGGAGGAAGGATAAAGAACAAGAAGATAAAAGCAGATAGGCGGAGACAAAAATAATACTAAATTAGACAGAAAAATACGAAGGTGACGTAAAAATATATTAGATGTGTGTTAAATGTTCCAGAAGATATTGTCTTAAGCAAATTAAAACATATTAATTATATTTAAAAATATAAATAAAATACAGCATGCAAACATGTGTATTTTATACCGTAATATAAATATTGAGATTTGTAAAGTTAAAAAGAGTTGAAAAATACAATAAAATAATAATTTCAAATAAATGAAAAGTAATTACGCCAAAATATCTTATTTTTTGAAATAATTTTGATTTTAAAATACTGAGCAAATAAGCAGTGCGTTACCTAAACTGCAATCGAATCTTCGTACACGTGCTAATACGCATGTACTTTGGCAAGTAATTCGGCACATGTCCGGTAGCCATGTGATGTGAGAAGTTCGGTTCCGTGCCAATTATGATAGTGTGCGCGAAGCCGTGAACGTTCTTGTCGATAAAGTTCCGCAAGTTCCGTGCCGAATGGTGCGTCAATTCGCGCTCTCTATTCCGCGTCGCAAGCTGGTGATCTTTAAATAGTGTTATCGCGTATCTAAACGCAGGCAGACATCCGAGAAGATAAAAACAGATACAATCTAGATAAGATACCGTTCAGATAAGAAGACAGAAAGAGAAAGAGAGAGAGAGAGGGAGAAAGCACAGTTGGTCAGCTGGAACAGAGTGATCCACGTTTCCGGAGACTGACTGAAGCATCAGTGACTTGCGATCTTAGAATCATTCGAGTGATATAAAGGTAATTAGAAATTATACTAATTAGCGAAATTTTAGTTGTACTAAAAAATTATTTTTTAGAAAAGAAAAAGATTTTTAGACAAAAAATATTTTTTTACGTTTTATACATTTTGATGTATCAAGTGATACATAAAAAATAAAATAAAAAAATACATAAAATAAACTAAAATAAAATAAAATAAAATAAAATAAAATACATCAAAATAAACGATACATTGATGTATCGTTTATTTTCACACGTTAAAATCTTGACTTGGCAACTAATAAAATAAATAAAATCGATTAATGAAGAGAGAGAGAGAGTCAAATAAAATTCGATGTAATAACTCGCGCGTTCAGGAGAAAGTATAGCAATTAAATGTAAAACAACAACCGGTTCTTCGTAATCGGGAAGATCAGTAGAAAAAGCTGAAATTAATATGGTGTGGTCAGACCGTGCGAAATTTTTAAGCAAGAACCCGATTCACCTGGCGAGATTTTCGAATTAATTGAGTCAGACTACTCGCCATCTCGCAATGCATATAATGGTCTACCATTGGTTCACAAAAATACTATGTTTATTAAAGACAAAGGATTATCATTACAAGCGAAGTAAAGAGCGTGGACTTGTAAATAACCTGTTCTTACTCACGGAAGTCAAACTAGTGGTTCTCCATGCGTGTAGCAGTGGCGTGAAATATATGCCGCGTTATAGTATAGATGTGATCAGAAATGTTAATTTAACCGTTAGAATTTCTCATTATCGACACGGAAAGTAACGTAACTACGTAACAACGCGGTCCCGGTGGCTGATAATTATGTCATATTCAAATCGCGAAATATTGTACGAAGTGAAACATTGTTTTGGAACGGTAAAAATCTTGTGACATTTATTTATTAAAACGTTTCACGTGAAACATCGATTTCAAGCAAATTTACAATTGAAGGAAAATTTGAAACCCGCCAAATTACGTAAAATTTTAATTAGGATTGATTATTTTAGTTCGATTGCGTGTGCAATATTTTAGGTGAAACAGATAGCGACGAGTCGCGTTACATGAATATAGATTATGTTGATTCGCTATTACGTCATTCGTCCTCAAGAAGGAGTTTCAAAAACGGCACTTAAATGTCGGTGACAGTGCTGTCAAGCTACGTTGCACTTTCTGGGACAGATTGTTGTTGCATAGTTAACCGGTAAAGCAGCGGCGAGAACAGTTCACCGCGAGTTCTCATCCACTTACGCGGAATTGGATCACTCGGAGTCCGTTCGAAATAGCTATGATTTACGGAGGAAGTCGATCCGCTAAGTTTCACACGGAGATTGACGGTGGATGCGATCTGGCATTATACTTTACCGGCGTAATCTAAGTGCGACGTCCGAGCGAAGGAAGAACTCTACGAGCGCGGTATCATTAGAATCGCGGTTAAATATAGCCATCGTCGTAAAGTTACTCTCGTTTAAGTGTGTGGAAATAAAAAAACGTCCGCGGTCATCTCCTATTCAAGTTAACGAAACGGCGTTGCGTAATTTGAATAAAATTTTTTTCTTCAAAATAGTATTAACGACAAATTTAGTTGATTTATACATGGAATGTTTTAAGTTTTTTTTTAATCCATGGATACTTTTATATCGATACAGAATTGAAGAGTCTGGCATGCTTTGTAAGGAAAGGAGGGAAATTGTGTCAGCGTTTCGTGTTAACGCAATTGCATCTTATTTGAATTATTAACAATGAAATACCTCATTATCTTAACTTATTCATGGACCGATCTAGTTAGACCCAGTAGCGGGCAATGCTACCGGCCTACTCGATTAACAAAGAGCGAAGCATTGAGCGGAGAGAACGGGAGCAACGTACGCATGGAAAGCCGTAAAATCGTTCATAATGACGTTCTAATGGAAAATGCATGAAATTTTCTTATTGCAGGTCTAACAAGAGAGACTAGCCGCGAGCAGAAGTTTCCCGTTATTGGATGTCGGCGAAGCGAAGAGAGAAAGAAGCGATTTGCCCGTTCGGACAATTTTGCGAATCTCACGGTTTCCCGAGGCCGCTCTCTCGCATCGAATCGCGCGATAAATAAACCAGGTAAAGCCAAATCGCATTGCTCATGCTCTCTCCTTCTCTCTCTTTCTCTCTCTCTTTCTCTCTCCAGCGTACAATTGCTCGCGCGTGAGTACGCTGCCGAAAGCGCAAGAAACGTCCACGTATGATAAACGATTTTGGATTTTGCTCCGCTGAGACCCGAATGCGGGAAACGACGTCTGTTCCCGTTAAACGCGTGCGAAGTTTGTAAGTTTATTCGCATCTTCTCTCGGGAGCGAGCGAGTCTCGCACGGTGAGACGAATTTGCAGATTTAGGCGTATCGCGATGATCATTTGTTAAATTAGAGTGATTGTAATTATTCAAAGTAAATGTTAATCAAATTTAGATAAAAAATTAAATTAAACTTTAAATTATACTTTCTTAAATTAATTTTTACTTCTCCTCATTGCATAAAGAATAAAAAATCAGCTTTTTACGTTGAATTAATTTTCATTTCGATAAGGTAAAAAGTTGATGGACTAATTAATCTTTAATTTAATTAGTCTATAAAGAAAGTTAATAAATTTATTTTCCAAATTTTTGTCTTTTGCAAAAGCAAAAAGAAAAATTGGTCACTATTTTCAATTGTATTATATAAAATTGTTAAATAAAGTAGAAAGTGCTATTACATATGTTAACCAATCTCTTATGAGGAAGAAAATAATATTGTCGTATTTAAATATTAAAAACAATTAATTTTTTTATGCATAAGTTTATTATATTATATTGATTCACGGTTGTGAGAAAAATATAATATGCTTTTAAAAATTAATCAGAATTATGAAACGGTTGTGTTAACAGTTAGCCGCTTGTAAAATAAATGGTTTTAACCTGAATTCAGGAAACACTGTCAGAAAATGCTCATTTAAAATAAGCAGATAAACAATAGCGTCTGGCAATTAGACTTGTCGCTATTAATTAATAACGCATCCAAAATAAAGCCAACGGTATATCGCGAGCAGGTATTTAATCAGATTTACTATCGCTAATTACCTATGTTCGTTACTGCTGTTTCGGAAAGTTTCGCGCTTTTGTTTTCTTCATTAACTTGCAGATTTATCTTAATGGAATCTGATTATACCTAGCGGAATCATGTGCTCGCTAGCTAGTAATTCGCGAACACAAGTTTGAAGCACAACTGTCAGTGTTTTATCACCGAACATAAGTATATTTTGAAAAAAATATATAGAATATAGTATTTGGAAAATGCGAAATTACTCATCACACAACTTCATATAACACCTCGAATAGAAATTTTATCTCTTATTTTTTTCTTTACGGTTGAATAAAGATCTTTTTTAGTGATACAAGACCTTGAGAGTCTATTTTGTTTCTTCGGAACTGATAAGTTAATAATTTGCACGCTTCTTTTCTAAAGGACAGCTTACAACCTCAAATTACTAACGTTGCAACTAATGTTACTTGCGCTCCAAGACTCATATAATATCTCGCGAAGGATAAAATGCCTAACATCTACATCATGCAACTTAAATCACGTTCGTGACGGTGCTCGCATAGTAATGTCGATAATGACGACGATCGATCTGTTGCGATCACAGGAAGCATCGCGCTTGTACGACCGCACCGATCGCTCCCGCTGGCCATTTATGGCATCTCGCGGGACGCGCGCTCGCGGTTGTCAACCCTCGATCACCGATCGAATGATTCTCGATCCTGCGCGATCCGTCCGCGATTAGAATGCGCGGCGAACGTTGATTAGAATGCAGCCGCGCTGCTCGGACGGCATTTAACGTGGACGATCGCACGCATTAACACGCATGACACCTACACACGCAAGCAAGTACGCGCACGTATGCAGACATACTGATGTGTGTTGTAAGACATGTGGCGGCCGGGTCGCTGCCCACATGCGTTGCGCGACACCCACATAAAACGCAGCTACCGACTCTCGATGGTTCGCCGTAAACCGTAATCCGCTCGTGCCGATTACAGACTCGGCGACTCGCGCTGCCGCTGCGTTTCCCGGTAAAATATTGCACGCTCGACAATTTTCAGCGTGGTCGGCGATATTTGAACGCCGCGTTACGACCTTGCGTGTCGAATCGACATCGAGATACGTATATACGACAAAGTTGCAAAAGTTGTCAGTGTTGCTTTAATTTACCGTATAAGTATCTTGAGAAACGGGCGGTGTGCGCAAAATGAATTAATAAATAAAATTTCGAAACTTAACGTACAAAGTTTGTGTGAATAAAATTAACTCTTGAGCGTCAAAATGCATGAATTACAAGAGTCAATATTTTGTCAATAATTTCTTCACCACAATAGCATTTTGAGAAATGCAGTATTATGCAAAATTGAGTCTAAAGATTTAAAAGAAAATCTTTCGCCACATCGCAAATGTCAGTTAATGCTTATTTGCTTGTTTCGTGACTAAAGTTCAACCTTTAAATAAAAAAAAACGAAAGCTAAAAAATTGAAATTACATTAGTGGAGTATAAGCTTTGTTTCAACAGCGTTGAGTTTCACAGTTGTAATTTGCATAGATTAACGTCAACGTGTTAGTTGTTAGTGAAGCGCAATACCACGGTGGAAATCGTTACGTATCGATAGGTGAATAAGGCTATCATTTACTGAGCAGCGAGTTGTTTCAGATAATAATGTGCTTTCATAGTTCCATTTGGCCCTTCCGTTTCCTACGCGACAGCTAATAAAGTTGTTGGCACATATTTGATTTTAGTTTCTTCTACAGCTATTATCATAATTTAATGGTGTGTCGCGTTTTAATATTGAGCAATATTTTAAAGAAATATACGAGTCACTTATTTTTTAAATAATTCTGTTAAAAATTTTATACTTGTACGTTGTAATATTAAATGTAAATATGTATATACTTTGTTATAAACTTTAGTTGCGTTTAAGCAATTCTAGAAGGTTTTAGAATATATAATAATTATGAAACGATTTTGTGGGATAAAAGAATCATATATCGGTATTTAATCCGGTTTTGTATTTTACTAGAATTTCTTTTTAACAATTTAAATAAAATTATAAAACTTTAAAAAAAGTTTTTACATTTTTGCTTAAATAAAATTTAAACAATTGAGTAGAATATATATTAAACTCTGTCTTGTATTATTTTATCATAATAGATTTATTAATATACATATATTATGGATCTGGCACATATAATTTTAAACACATTGCATATAATAAATAAAATAAGAAAATAAAATTATACGCACACATGAAAATTATTTTCTTATCTTTAACACGTTTCTTCCGCCTGTTGCGTGGGTCGCAGAACTTTCCGTTCAAGCCACGTTTGACATTTCTTTTTTTGGCTTAAATTGTGTAAATAATGACAATTTATCAAAGAAAACATTTTTGCTTTACTTTGTAGCGTATTTTTCTTGATAATGATTTTTGCAGTATTATAAATATTATAAGATACTTGTTATAAGTAAAACTGTTAGCTTCGACAACATGGAATATATGTAATCCACACGGCGAAAAGTCATTGAAAATTGCGGCAGGGAACGTGTTAACGTTGTATTATTTTTAATTACCATTAATTGTCTCCATTAATAACGTAATCATGTTTGAATTTTCAGGTGAACAAAAATCATGATACGCATTGAATGATTCGTGATTGGTGACGAAGAGAGATCAATCAAATTAAACGAAGAAAAATGGTATACCGGGGCAGTTTGCAGACAGACGATCCAAGAGATGCGCCGAAGCTGGTTCGAATGTCTCCGTTGCGCAGCAGCAGACCCCCTAATCCCCGGCTAAATTCGCGGGTTGCTATCTCCGTCAAGGATCCGATCTATCACAACTCGTACACGGCGCCAATCGATATCAGTCGAGCGCGAATGATTGAGGAGAGACGGTTGAGTCGCGAGCGGGACATTGAGTCGGTCGAAAAAGTGATTATGAGAACCACCGGTATAAAGATCGGCGCTCCCAGGCTGCGCAATATTAATCAGATTCGCGAAACTGTCTTTATGGACCAGTCGTACACGCCGATCGACAAGATCGGCAAGCTGGAATCGAGAAATCGACCGCGCAGCGTCGCCGTTGGTCTTGAGGAGGGCAACGCCAGGATATCGAGAACCCATAATTCTCTTCTGGCGGACTTGCGAGACCTGGAGAGATTGAGAACCACTCCACCGACGCAAAGAAATCACAAAGGTTTGTCGCTGAGAACAGAAAGATCGGAACCAAAGTCGGTAATTTTGAGCAAGAAGAGTGACACGCCGACTTCGGCGAAAATTCGGTCGGACATCTTTAGGATCCAGCAGATGTTCCACTCAGCAGATCCCTCGTCTAGAACGGTCACGAAGAGCAATGATAGAAAAATCAGCAGCGACTCGGAGAAGAAGGAGAGGAAGTCTGGCACGGAGATCACCAGGACCCGGCTGCTGGCGCAGAAACTTTTGGAAGCATCTAGAAGTAATCGGGAATCCTTGAAGGATCGTTGTAACAATCCAAAGAACGTGTCGAATAAAGGCAAAAACACAAACGGAAAAGTGTCGAATAAGCTCCTTCAAGAGAAACTCCCGGAGAAGGATTTAAGAGACAAGAAAAAGGAGAAGGAGGAAGCGAATTCAGGTGATCAGCCGCGTCCACCTGTTCGTAGAAGGAGGGACTCGAAGAATCGAAGGTGGAATGACGCGAATTATTCCGCGGACGAGCGTTCACGGGAGTCAGAAGATCGAGGAGTTCGCAATCCTGATTATGAGGAAGACCGATGGAACGGGGCAGCAAGTGCGGAAGAGAGTTCTAAGACCAGTTCTAATCTGGAAAGACCGGATATTCTGGACGGGCTGTTGAAGGAGTCCGACCGGCAGCTGACGGAGCTAAAGAACGATCTTGGTGAGAGAGGACGTTCGCGGAGTCATTGGCGAGGATTTGTGCAATCCATGAGGCTGCATGACGTCGAGCTTCACTCCGACAGCGAAGATCAGCGAAAGGGTGAGTGTGCAAAACATTTTGTATTCGAAAAGCAGCATTTGAACTTATCAAATTATTTTAAGTCTTTTTGTTTATAAAGCACTTTTCAAATTTATTAAATTTTTTATAGTATAGATCAACTTTTAAAATATAAATTAACCACTGAAACGATGCAAAAATCGAAGAAAGGAGAAAATTATGTTGATGAATTGTATTAATTTAATTTTTTTTAAACATATTTATTTTTTCAACAAAGTTTGTAGAAAAATATGCCGAGTTTCTGGAATAATTTGATAATTTGTGAAATGTTGCAAAATATCTTGTGTTTCATGTTATCTTTGTTACACATTGCATGATTTGTTAACACAGCTTCATTAAAAAGGGATGTTCATCTCGCACTACGTACTCGTAGAAAAATTTTCGCTTTTATTACATTAATATTCGTAGGCCGTTAAATGCCTGATTGTAATTTGAAAAAAGAGGGACACTTTTTTAAGCCGACGGATTCGATTAATGACGTTTGTCGAAGTGTGTGAAGTTAGAGTACAATTGGCGTGCCCGTTAATCCATCGGGAACCGAAGCACCCCTATTTTTAGGCGCTCCCTCATACCCTCTCATTTGCTCGCTCAGTTGTATCACTATCGCAGGTCAGGGTAGTGTAGTCCAAATATAGAATGTAAATGTATCCCTCGAACATATGTCTGTACATATGGATTTAGCTGGGACGTACAGCCTCTTCTCTAATTCTATGGTAAAATCTCCTATTTGATGATTATCTCAAGCTTTTCGAGCGTTCGATTGTGTATCACAAAATAAATCTATGTGCATGATATAAGATCAAATCGGTACTTTTCGAGCATGAAATTTGCAAGCTCAAACGCTCCGTTTATTTGTTGCTTTTATTGCATCAATAATTTTATTTTATTTTATTTTTATGTATTGATTAATAATAGTTATTTGTCGTCACGCTTCAACAACGCTTTTGATTCGTATTGCATGCTTTAGCATTATTTATTTTTATTTGTTACCTTTAGATACTTCCAAAATAATTTTCCAAAATCTTATAATTCTTAATTAATTTATAATAAAATTTTCCTTTTTTATTATTACTTTATTTGAATAAAGTTGAAGAATCAAATAAATTTAATGGATGGAAGCCACTGTTAGCTTGTTACATATATATTTAATAAGCGTTTGTCTCTTTGTCTTATAATCAATATAATTGATGCAAATTACAAATATGCAAATGTCGAAAATGTCGATATGGTCTCACGGTTAACGCTTCCAGGAAGTTTTGTGATTCTCTGCGTGTGAATGCGAGTTCAACTTGAGCGGAATGGCATCGCCGCCACTTTTAGTTGAACGCAACGAAAAAAAGTGCTCGGTAACAGGCGCACCTTGTGTATTGCTCTTTTATCCTAGCTAAGCATTCTTATCTGCGACTTATCGTTTTATATGTGGACTCACTATATCTCTACTTACGTACGTGCCCGTCCGATAAGTCAAGCATGTTGATATGGGTCATAATTCTCAGATAATGCAGTTGACAGCGTCCATATTGTAAATGCAATATATGGAATAACAAAAAAAAAATATAAAAATTTAGACTTAAAAATTAAAAATTAAATTAAGAACTGATGATTGAATACGTTTTTTTATTGGATTGAAAATGCTACATAAAAAGAGGTATAGAAAAGATAAATTTTTTTTATAAAATAACTAATGCCATCTTTATGTCGAAATTTATGATTTCTAATATTAATATTAAATTAAAATGTATTTAAAATTGCATGAAATAAATTGTCTATCAAATGTATTAAAATTATTATTGAGAACTTTGTGTCGCCTTTGCAAAATGGATATCGTTACATTACGCTGACTATACGTAATCTTCCTGCAATGCGATGCCGACGTACACTTTCTCTGTCTCTCTCTTTCTTTAAGAAAGTCCTGTAAAGCAGCCGCGTCAAGAAAAATTTTTGAATCAAAAGATCTCGGGTCGTCGGTGGCTGCGAAGGGGTTAATCCTTTCGCGTCGCGGTGAAATACCGCGTTTATGCTTGAACTATGCACCTATGCCCGACTGCTATATGCTCGAATACTTGGCTGTTCACGTAACACTGCGCTCTCGTCTCGAAAGCCAGAAGGAGCAGGCTTTTCCCTCGCGTCGCAGAAGACACGATATTTACATTCTCACGGCATCGCGAAAGTTTTCCTAAACGAAGAAAACGTGCGTATCGCGGCGTGTGCAATTAACAGCCCGATGACACGTAATCATTTATATCGTTTATCTCAGCAAGTTCGCAATTTAATTGCATAAACATCGCGCGATGTAAGATTTGACTAACACGAACGGAATAATTATATTGCACTTGATTGTGCATAAATATTCTGCGCTTTATTATGTTTTAATGTAATAATCTGATATATCATGATATATTGCGAAAATGCTTTTTCTTAACAAGAATTCTTTAGACATTTTTCTGAATTTTTCGACACAACATAAATTATTTAATATGATAAATAGAAGCGTTTTTACACGCTCATGTAGTAACTTTTTACGATTCTTCTAATCGCACTAAATCTCAGTCACGACGTGCAAAGATAATAAAATCGATTCCGGTGATCGTGGGAGAACGGAAGAGTCGTGTGTAACCAATTATAGACACAATGGGGCACTATCGACGATAATTGCAATCGATATCGCCGCGTGTTGCATCGGAAGTACCCAAATTCCTTTTCACACGCACGCACGCACATACGCAGGCGGTTACACAAGTTTTCCTAATATAGGGTGTCTTAAAATATTTGATTTGATTTCTAAAAAGGATTTCTGAGCTGCTCTTTTTTTTTGAATAATTTTGAAAAGTCATTTGTAGTTACAATTTTTTAATATGCACATTTTTTTATTTTAATAGAATAGAGTTTGTATAAATTTTGATAAGTAATTAGAGATTCTTAGTTTTTTTTTTATTTATTTATTTCAAAAAGTCTTGATACTTTAACGCACACATTGTAATTAATGTAATCAGTTATTAAAATTAAAATTAGAGATTTTACTCTGCATATAAATTGTCGAATTTCTACTGCAGTCATTAATTGCAGTTTTTTAAATAACTTTTAATTTTTAATATAAAAAATTAATTTCTAGATTTTTAGCTTCAATTAATTACAAATTTTTAGTCAAACTTCCGCTATTTCTTTATTTTGCTTAATTTTATATCTTGCTTCTCTTCTAATTTCCGCGAAATAAAATTTCTGTAAAGTGAAGATTGACTTCACAAATTCTTTAACAAAATCACATTGTTAAAAGACACCCCATATAATTTTTGTCTTGCTAGCGGCCCTTGCCCTTGAGTCTACGCCCTAATATTGATCCAGCATTCCCACTACATCGGTCTCATCCCCTCTTTCTTCGACCCCGCCGTTGGGGGCCGTTGATCGTTCCAACGTCGTTGTGATGCGCTACATCGCCAGTGTAAACGTGACTGCCAAACCGTTAACATTTAACAGAACCAATCGATAGTGTTGTACGTTTCATTCAACGACGATCTCCTTCTTCTCCTGCACCTCCTTCATCTTTTTCGCCGCCGTCACCTCTTTTCAACCCGTCACGATGCTGCCCTATGTCATGAAATATCTTAGTGCTTGCGGGACCACGCGGTAGGATACACGCGCTCCGTTGTAACCGGCGGACATGGTGCTCTGCGACGTTTGTGACAGCAAAGGTGAGAGTAACTTTTTTTCTTTTCCTCCTTAATGGGAAAATTCTGGAGAAAGAGGATGATTTTGGACCAGTTCGTGACGTTGTCATGACAAAAAAATTATTCTCTTAAATTTTTAATCTTGATGACCTTGAAATTCTGCAATATTGCTCAAGAAACATATTTGGGAATCCAAAGTCTTAGGCCTGATTTACAATGCGCTTTTTGTATATTGTTTCTTGCTTTCTGATTTTTGTACTTCTGCTTTTTATGTGTTTGTCGCATGGAGAGAAACACCGTGATTTATAATTTCTTCTTTCTGAATTTTCGAAGGAAAATATGTCTTTACGCAAAGGCAGAAAACAAAAAAGATATTGTAGATTGGGGTTTTTGGGGGATGTATGAAAATTTTTGAAAAAACATTTAGAGAAAATTTTTGAAAAAAAAATTAGAGAACTAAGATTTATTTTTATAAATTATTATTTTATAACAATTTATCGATTAAAGCTGTAGCTTTAGAATATTAAAACATTATATATATATATAAATGCGCTAATTTTATCAAATATTATTTTTTTAATTCTTTTTATACTATAAACTTTATCGTATAGGTTTGGTCTTAAAAGATTAATACAGAATTTTCTGAAAATATCTGCTTTTTTTTCATAATTATGAAATTTTAGTAAAAAAATCTTGAATAAGGACAAATTTTAAGAAATAATAAAATTAGAAAATATTTTTTATATCTTTATTAATTTTTAATGTAAAATCTTACATAAGCAATTTTAAATTTAAGAGCCTTAAAATAAAAAATCCAAGATATTTGCAGAGACAAATGCGATTATGTTTTCCGTGATCATTAATTAAAATTACTATCTCGAAACGTTATCTCTCTACAACTGCCGCCAGCGAAAAGGTCATAGATTTTTCTTGTACAGAAAAATTCCGCAGCAGAAGGGAAAGTTTGCGGAATGTTACCGCGGATATGACAACAGGAAATTGTGTGTCTTCAGAATTTCCGAGAGAGAAAAAGTTTGTGAGAAACACGATGTGACGCACACGTGCACATAGTTCGATCGTGTGAGTAGTACGTGTGGGTTCGACCCTTAACGTGAGAAGATGAAATTTTATGACATTATACAATTTTCCGCAAACAATCTTACAGATGGCTAGTGATTCTTTTAGTTTTGCACGCAAATTCGCAAAAATTTTGCATTAATCCGACGTATATGTTGGCGAAGTGTATTATGTCAAAATAATCTTGTTTTGCTTATATACGGTGGCTTATGAAAAGGTAGTCAGAGCTTTTTTTCACCG